TTTTTTTTTTTTTTTTTTTTGGATAAACCATTGAATTGCTTATTTTAAAGGTTGGTATGACCACAATAAAAAGAAAGATATCTACATTGTTTTCTTCTATGAGGTAACCCCCTGTAGCATGAACTAATAAATTTTAAAATCTAAAATTACATTTTTAAAATTATTTAACAGTTTAAAATTAATTTATAAATTAATATTTTCTGACACTGTAACCAAATATTAAAAAAAAAAAATCCCATAAGCTGAACCTTTGGGTTGTTAGCTGGAGTGATTATTTTCGGCTTAAGAAGCACATGCACAAATTCAAACCACCATTCAATGTAAATTAATTTTTAAAAAAAACACATGCAATGGAATACTTAATCATGGCTAATAAATTAATAATTTTCACCGAAAAAAGCAAAAGACTAATAAAGTAATAATTTATGTGTTTCACATGGATCAAGTTCCAACACAACCCCTGTTGTTGTCGGCACTGGGCTCCAAACTGTTTTAATGGACCCACCCCAACCTAACCCAAAGCTATCACAATTGACAGGGTAAGGGTAAGGCGAAGATTGATGGTTTAAATACCATTTTGGTCCGTTAACTTTTTATTTTAGCACCAAAATTATCTTTTAATTTTAAAAAATATCAAAATTATCTTTAAACTTTTATTTTCAGAACCGATACTTTCCTCAGTTAATTGGACAAATGGCACGTTGAAATGCCACAAAATCACTGAAGTTTTTAAATCTTAATGACATGTAAATCCAACGGAGAAAATTTTGTCAACATGACATTTTTTTTACACCTCATATTATCACCTTTTTAGCTTTCCCTTTTAGTGAGACCCACATGAAAATTTGTTTTCTCTTTTCTTAGTTTCAGTCGAGTTCACAAAAATGGCAGTGTTCTTCGTTTCTCCTTTCATTTTCTTTTTAGATTTAAAACCCTAAACCTATTACTTCTGCAAAATCAAAATCAAATCAAGCTTTATATCACCATGGAATCTGTTGATCGAATATGTTGATTTGGTATTTTTTATTATTAATTTACAATTTTCCAACCTAAAAAAAAGAAAAAAGAAAAAAGAACTTCATCTTCTTCTTATCATTAGATACAAATAAGCAACGTTGCCATCGCTGCCCCAAATCAAACGCAAGAGTATCTCAACCTCTAAACCTTACTATTCCCAAACTCTCGCTATGTCGCCAGTGCTCGTTGTTGAGGCTGCCAAGCTTGAGATCGAGGAGGTTGTTTCCGTCGAGAAGCCCCAGGTATTCCATCTACAAGCCCTTTTCTTCATTTTGTTCGCACCTGGGATGCCATTGTGTTAATAGCGGCTAGCCCTGAACAAGCGCAGCTTTACCAATGGCAACCCAAGTGAGCCAAGAGGATGGGCCGAATCACGACCTTCATCGTCACTAGTGCTGCTAGTGTAGAGCGAGTGCACAGAGAGAGCCAAAAGGAAGGCGCAGCTGGTGTTGAAGCTGGGTTGAGAGAACCCAAATCTGGGTTAATTTGGAGAGGAAGAAGAAGGGAGAAGAGAGAAAGAAAGAATAAGAAGAAGAAAGAGAAGGAAGAAGGATGAGTGGGGAAAGGAATGAGGAAGTTTGATTTCGAAGGATTGAGAGAAAAGAGGAAGAAAAAAATCCAGCACTAGTGA